TSTKTYWMAAAAAAAAATCACATAGGAGTTCCGCACACTTTAAAATGCTCAGCAAGAGATCCTGCGAGATTAAAAGCTCAATCAGAAGGGACTGAATCTAATTACAATTATAGAATTAAAAGATTTTTTCTTCCTAATACTTCTTATCTCTGTGAAGCTCTATCTTTGTAAAATTTCATGGATTGAAGAAGCACCCTTATCTGTTGCAGAAACTAAACCCCTTCATAAGGAATACCAAAGAACCACAGCCACGATGACAAACTGATGAATTCAGAGYTTTCTCCTGTTTATAAAAACTACCMMTCTGAGTTACAGGAGTAAAGAATCACTGAAAAAAATACATCTCAAACTATCTAATATTTCAAAAGGAAGAACACTGGGATAAGCTCAGAATTGAAGAGGGAACACACATAGCACAGAAAAAGCTGCCAGTGGCGTTACTGACTTGCCCAATGACACAAACCTGGGGCTTTTATTTGGCCGCCAGCTGTAAGACCTGAAGCTTTCATGTGGCCCTAAAAATTRGAACTTTTAACTTGCAACCTCACACAAGAATCACTTGTCCCCAGTAATTAACCACCCAGAAAGACAATATGGACAAACTTTGGAAGATAACTGTATCTTCCCCTGAGTGCTATTTCATCCTTTTGCATATTGGACAAATATTGGTTTGCAGTTATCTTTGTAAGAAATAGGAACTCAAACAAAGATACTGGAATTACATAGACTGAAGAAAATAAAAACAAAATTGAGGATGAACATGGGAAACTTTAGATCTAGGGAAGAAATCATTACTTTTGATCATTTGAAAAGAAGAAAAGGTATTTGAGTAATAGTTATCCAGCTATCTAGAAACTACGTGCTCCACTCATGAGGAAGGAAAAGAGCCTGAAATCTAATTCAARTGAAGCATCTCCTCACAGAAATATACTGCCAATCCACCCTCGCAAGAACATTTAAAGGAATTTGAAACTCCTGTATTGAACTTGAACTACTTTTAGTGCTCAAGTTCTAATTTAAGATTTACAATCACCAAAGTTAATTATTGAAAAAAAAGCCAAACAAAACCAACCCACCTACTCACCCCCATTAAACCCCCAAAAAAGCCCTCTGGGAGGCTCTGAGCCCACAGAAAACTATGACAGGACTTAGTCCCAGTTGTTAAAGCCAGTACCAGGGGACAGGTCATACGAGAGTTACATTACCACAGACACACATGGCTTGGAGTGAGGTAAAGACATTAAATCAAACATWTGCAAGCAACCAACGCAGCTATTTACCTTCATATTTTCACACAAAATCCTAGAAGATATCATATTTACATTTCCTAGTCATGAAATTATGCACAGCTGATGTAGAAGCTACTTTATCAGTTTATATCAATACCATCACACAGATTCCACACATACTGGGAAGGCCTAAATCTGCATTTCTCAAACCACTAAAGCCAGAATATCACTGTAGTTCTATCCACACRTTTGTAACGTAAAGATCAATTATTAAAATCTTACTCTAGAACACATTCCAATGTGCTCTTTAAATGCTGACTTCTGCAGTGTTGAATTAAAAATGTAGATTTTGACWTTTTTTAATTAATAATTTTAATATCATGCCATTACCCTTCCATTTTCCCACCAGGCTCAGAGAAGCATTTTGTGGATAAGCTTCCTCTGATCCACCTTTTGGTCATTATGTCTTTGGGAAAGAATATTACATTGGTAATATTTATTGAAGTGACATTGAAGGTTCATATTCTTAGAGCAGTGTTAAAACACAAAGATGCTGGGAAAAATAACAACAACAGGAAATCCAGAATTTTAGAAAGCCCCTTGTGAATAATATTAAAATATGCTTCTTCCTTCATTCATTTTGATGATAATGCTCATCTACCTCTAGTCTGGGTAGAGGTGCTACTTGCTTATTTTTGCACTACTCCATTCTCTAGACCAAGCTATCTTTAGCACCTCTCTCAGTGTTTTGTCCCTTCTAAAAATTTTTGTTTACTTTCCCAGTCCTCATGAGGTGTTCTGATGCATAAACTACATTTTGCTTTTTTAAAATTCAGCTAGTYTAAAAGAGAAAAAAGTAAACTATAAATAAGCATAAATTATAGGTATTCTTAAACCCCGACGCCAGTGAAATAGAAGAGCCTTACTTTTATCAGAGAGAAAACTAAGAGTCAATAAAGAAAGACATATAGAAAAGAATTATTTGCCATGGTTGCTGGATTTCAAAAAGCAAATGCATATGAAACTACTCCTATCTTGAAAATACTCCATGAGTGRGAGTTCTCAGCCAATGCAGCCAGCTACAGAATAAACCCTTTTCAAGAATCTGAAATGGAAGTTGTTGTTCATTTATGTTCCTTWCTTTTCTAAAGCCACCCAGGTAAGAACCACTCTCACTGGTTACCTCCCTGACTTCATATGAAGCCATTCTGATATGCACAGGAGTGCCACAATCATGTCAATGGCATATTAACTTTGAAACCTGGTAATTGTACAAATGTCAACAWTAGACGTGATTTTTCAAAGGTGCTTAGGCAATTAAGCAATCTTATGATTCCAAAAGGGCCCACTGAAAATGCAAGTCACTGTCAGCTGCTTTACTGCTGACCACCTGAGCAGAAACATCCAACCAATGCATCTATTTGGCAATTCCAGATCTCCTATCACAAAGACAAACCTACCTAAATTCTACCTTACAATTATTTTATCCTAGATAACAATATAGTTAACATTATTAATGTATTTATTCTAGCAATACTTCTGTGAGGTAGGCAAATGGTGTTATTTCCATTTTACATGTCATGTCAATCCAGGCAGAGCAGGACACAAGAGCTCTATGTTAGCCCTCAATAACATAACAATACAATTGTAGCTTGTGAAAGAAAAATATCTGCAACTTGTCCAGAACTTAAAAGTGTTGTTTCAGTGTATGTTCTTTTTAACTGTAAAATAACTGTGCATTGTGTCATTCACACAGAGGAAGAATCCTCCATTTTTTATTTAAATGAAGCAATTATAGTTTTTGACTTGCCACAATACAACGTGTAGACTGAAGGAAGTTTGCTTCAGAGTTTCTGCTTGTTGAACATTACATGAAGCCTCACAAACAGCCATTCAAAAAAACTACTTACACACAGGAAAAATCCAAAAACAAGGTAATTGAGGGGTATAGAACACTACTTTCTTTATATCAAAGAAACAGCAAGGTTTTCCAGCATTATAACTATAAGATATCCACAAGTACAACATAGTATAAATGTTAGAAGGACACTAYGTTATACAGCATATACGCACCAGCAGGAACATCTCATCCAAACAAACACATTCTGCCGCCTTAGCCAAAAAGATAACTTTTTATCATGCTAAGAATGTTCAGCTTTCAAAACACGTTCATTCCAGAAGGAAAAAGTTCCTTTTTGCCTTACCTTCAATTAGTTTTCCTCTAAATAGTTAAAGCAGATATATATATATATATAAATGTAATCTGGAAACTTGCATCAAAGCAATTCTCCACAAATCTTCTACAAATTTATTAATAAAACAGACAAAATTGTAAAGTATYGAACAAGTGGCTCTCCTTACCTTCAGTACAGCAATGAATGGTACAAAATTAGCCCTCTGAAGACCATTTTTATAGAGATCTGAAAGAAAGGAAATCAGTACCATTTTGCTTCTTAGTTTTAACAACATCTCTAACAAAGTCTTCTAGTCTAGCAAATAAAGCTCAGTGTTGCTAGAGACAGGAGGAGGAACAAAAGACAGAAAAGGAGAGCTAAAATCACTTTGTCTTCTTTTACGGTATGAAAATTCAATACAATCATAAGGAAGAAAGGAACATCTGAACARGACAGGGAGCAAAAAATGACTTAATTCTCTAATGACATGTAACTAATTCTAGAAGAAATTAGAGCAGCATCTGTTTTAAAGTAAGGGTTTAAAAAATATTTGTAATACTGGGTATACATTGGTATGTATAGAYTGCAATGCCAAACTATGCAACTGTTAAACCCAAGTATTTGGCAGAGGGCAAAAACCTCACATAAACTAAAAATACACAATTTGAGTTTACAAAATCAGCATCATTCCTTTTCAGTGCACTTTGGCACACTTTATATTCTACCAATTCTGCCAGGTACACMCCCTTTTCCAMAGCAAGAGAAATGGGTCACCACCCYCTTAAGACCAAAAAATTGAAAATTAAATTCGTATGTAAACTTGGGCAAAGTTGCTAAAAATACAACTGAACAAAGAAAACAATAGTGAATTATGTAACTAAATGCATAGCTGCATCATCAACAAAATACAACTTAACAAAAACAAACTGCAAAGCAGCRTTTTTTATTTTACTTATCTCTATATATTTTCACAACATAAACTTTTCTTCTATGCAAATTATCTAACGGCCAAACAAGCTCATAACAGAATGACTTCTTTGAAAACACAATAACTTAAAACTGTATGACAAGCTGTTCTGTTTCATTAATATTATAAAAAGGCAGTATAACACCTATAACTGATAGAAGGAATGATAAGAGAATACAGACAGCTGGCAGAGATATCACCAAAATTCCACACAAAGCACATGCCAGGTTATGGTTGTCCCTTATATTCCCCATAAGGCCTGAAGGTTACAGYTACACTAAAGCTTTTATGCTTTACCAACACCTCACTGTGGACAGAAGAAGCCKCAAGCATGAGACACCAACAGGACACCTACAGAAAGGTTTTCACAAAATTGGACATATACATGAAAGCATTTAGAAAAATTACCAGTACAGGCAATTCCGTATCCTAATTACCAACAAAGTTGTAAGAAGCCATGTATCATGCTCATTTCCAATTCAGCAAATCAGGATGCTTATACATTTGTGAAAATTATATAGCAATATTGCTTATTTACTTACAAAAACTAGTGAATGTGTAACAGTAGTGTAAGAGCCACTTAGATAATAGGGCTGTAGGCTTCAGATCATGTCTCTGTTTCATGAGGATCACAAAAACAAACAGTAATTTTGGTGAAGACATGAAGCCAGGACTCCTCAAACTCAATCTGAGTATTTCCCCTCACATTCCCCTGAGGCAGGAGTTCAACACAGTTATGTGTATCACTACTGGTCATGAGCTGGGCACATCTGCTCTCTAATGAAAAAGCCTTTGTATCCACAAGAAACAAATCTCTCCATTCAGTCTTAAACCTCGATGTGGCATATTACACTAATCCAACTCTCTTTCCTGCAGGGGGATTTCAGACACACAGTGTGCATATAGGAATAGTGACCAAAGAGAGAGAGGCATCAGCCAAACACCGGGATTGTAACACAGCTCAGTTTTGGAGATGCTGTTCTTGACATTCCCTGGGGTACTTAATACACATGGATGTCTTTCAGGTTGATATAGTGACTTAATGCATTAAAACACCCACACAACAATAAAGGTCACGTAATGACATCTTGAATTTAAAAGTCTGGCTAMAATCCTCAAGGTATGACAAAAAATTCTCCTGAACTGTAAAGAGCAGTGCTTCAGAAAACACAAGGATGGCTCTCAAGTGAGTAAAGCATCAGCATTCAGTCTATCTGCAGTTCTCTCAACTACAGTATTTACAATTTCATCTTGTTTGCACAAAAAAAGGAAAATAAACCAATGGGGAAATATTTTCTCCCCTAATAAAAACATTTGGATGGGCTTTTTTGCTTGGTTTTTTTTCTAATTTTTTTGCAAAGATAAGGTCCGTTGTACAATTGCATATCTTTAGCAATTGTCTTTTAYGCAATTAATTTGGGTAGGAAAATAAATGGTAGTTAACAGTTACAGTCACTTTTCAAGATTTCAAATTAATCACTCTGAAGTGTCATMAAAGTTTATGCATTATGCTAACTGCTAATGCTATAAAATGCAAACATTTTTCTCCCCTACAAAAAAATTACTGCTTGGTTAAAACYCACACAGATCTGGGGACTTTGTAGAAGGATCTACTCAGACAGTAGATCCTCACTAGAAGTGACTAGTCACTCTAAAAAGAGTGACATTGGAAACAACTCTCCACTTAAGTAACTCCACCAAACCAGATTGTAAGAATGTAAGCATGATCATTGATAAGTGGCTTTCCTTTGAGCTGGTGGAGCAAGCCTGCAACTTTCTGAGCTCAAAATTGGAATGAATGTGATCTCATTGCCCCCTCTTCTGCAGGATATGATCTTTTCTTATTTTTAACCACATTCAAAACAGGTGGTATTTTACCCCTTCTCAACTGCCYAATCCACAAATACCCTCTCACTTATTTGGATAGAGTAGAGAAGATCAGAAAATGCAAAAGGTTTTGAGAGTGGTGGGGGAAGGAGCACTCAGAATTTGAGATAAAGGAGGAATAACATTTAATGAAAAACCTTTCTTCCTTAAGAACAAAAGCGGGCAACAAGCTGGAATATCTCTGATTCTTGCAGACTAGAGAGTTCATCAGTATAAAATACAGTATGATATAAATACGATTGTTTTGTAAGATAGTGAGATTCACTGGATTTGAGTAATAYTGGTAGAATGTTTGTTTTTACCTTCTGGCGGCCTGTTAGATGTTGCCACAACGACAACCCCATTTTGGAAGAGATTTTCAAAAAGCTGCTTCAGAATCATGGCATCAGCAATGTCAGTGACCTGAGAAGACAACACATTTGTTTTATCTTGCTTTCAGCTTCTGCTGCAATAGATCTGCAAGTGGCTTTGTAGCTAGGAAAATGCTTGTTAGTGAAAGCCATGGAAAAAGATTCTAATTATTGCTTGGTGAGGAAAAAATAAAAGGGATAATTAATAAGCAGTGAATGTACCACAGTCTTTCAAAACTTGCCCACTCTTTATTGCGGAACTCCACCATTTCTTTACCAATTGCTAAATGATTCCATGTTAACTTCCATTATAAAACTACAGGTGGGAGACACAGAAAACAGACCTAAACATTTAAGAGCCTACTTAATTAGGAACAACATAAAAAAACCCCAGAAGATAGAAAGAAAATATACACCGGCTGTTTTACATTTCTATTACCTTTGAGGCAAAGGTTTGCAGAGGTGAATTTAAATGGTCATGGGACTTCAGAAATAAAGACAAGTAGCCAACTATACATAATCAGCTGCTGTTGAAAATAGAATGATATGACATAGATACTATTGTGTGATTGTTGCAAAAAACAATTCAACAGATGGCCCATCACAAAAATAAGCAATTTCATTGTTCTTTTTAAGTGCCTTCTATTACTGTCCATGAATAATCAAAAGGCAGGCAGTCACTTCCAGCACAGTCAGCCTCTTCTAACCTTCAGGCACAAAACACGAATGAAAAATAAAAACGGGTAGGAGAAGTGATACTAGGGAGGGGAAAGGAAGAAAAAATGACTGAAAGATAAGCCACTAAGTAAAATTTCTCTAAGGATACAGGAACAATGCTGTAAAAAAAAAAAAAAAGACGTTTTTCTGAAAAACAGCAATTCATATTTTACAGGAGTTCATAATTTTAATATATAAACGAGCTTAATGATTTTTACACTTGATTCTCCTTCAGTCCCTGTGGTTATTATACAGACACTTGTTGCAYTTTGACTTGCCAAAACAGACCCCAGTTCTGAGGAAATAAACCAATGGTGGCCTGCTGGGAGTTACACATCCCCATTACACAAGAGATTGACAGATTGCTGTACTTGGATCACCTTAGATGTGTATGCTGTAATAGTAGTACATGTGCAAAAAGATTTCAACCATTATAATTTTTGCTTCTGCTTCACAACCTTCCACATCCCATCATTCTCCCATTTCTAAATGACTTTTCTGGGCAGAAAAAAAATATCTTCCTACACTAAACACAGTAGAAAACTTGGGTTACATTTCACATTCCTGGCTTAGACTTTTCTTCCAAAATGTAACCGGTTTCCTTCTTCCAAAGACTTCTTCCATTTTGTTCTAGCAATGCCTTAACACGGTTGTTTTTCTTTTTAAAAACCAAACTTTTACATAATCAATAACACACCCCTCAGATTTGCACAACTCTGMTCACTAAGATCTGATACTAAAAAAAAGATACAGTAATTCACTATTGTACTGTATGTCTAATATACCTGCTTGTGTTTCACTTATTAATAATTTATTTCTTCTGGATATTAAAATTTAGTAACTTTTCCCATTTCTAAAAAAACAGGATACACAAGGAATCACTGTACATGTGCATCTTAGGAGTAACTGAATTTCTTGTACCACAAAGCCCACCTAAAAGCCAAGTTTTAAAAATCTATTATAGAAGTAATTTTATTAGAAACCTTTTTGTGTACTAACACTACAAAGCACGCTACCTTTAGAAAACAGGGAATGAAAGCATATTAATTCTCACAAAAAACAGAACAGTAACATTTTCTTATTAATGAGACTGTTATTTGATGCAAAATTCTGAGCTCTATTACAAAAAAAAGAAAAAAATACAAAACAAACCAAAGCAACAACAACAAAAACCAACAAAACCCTCTTGAAAGGTCTGTCAAAACACAAGAGCCATTTTGAGGGCCAGGATGCAAATATGAATTCTTTTTCTCTGAAACACTTTAGGAAAGACAAAAAATATTCTACAAGGTAAAGCAGGTAGAAGACAGTTAACTAAAGGATTTCAAGTTCTCATGGCTTTTTACTGTATCCAGCATCTMCTGCAACTGATAATATAAGCAAAGGCTACAAATTACCAATAAGGAGAGCCTGCTACGGGAGAGAATGGAAAAATTTCATTAGCATTTAAGAGAAAAAAAAGGAAAGATACGAGACTAATAGTTAATTTACATGTGTAAGTGCCTGAGACTCAGTCAGCCACTGATTGGTACAGTTCCATGTAATGAATGACAAACATAAGCATGTATTATCAGCAATTAGTATTAGCACAAAAATAAGAGCCTAATTTTTATTAGAGGTTTTTAATAGAATGCAGGTTAGTGAAAATCCCTAAATTGTTAGCTCACTTCTGTAGTATAAATGGTACCATTGGTACCTTAAGACTAACACTGCATGATTACTCAGCTTCTCAAAAAGGAGAGACTCTGTTTTCATTATCAATACTGATTTGGTTACAGTCCCGTGACAAAATTAGAGCTTCTAATTACCTGTGTATAGTTATTTGGTCACTGCTAGCCAACCCTGYGTTCTGAAAGATCATAATTACAAATGGCTTAATTTTAGGGTTTTTCTTCAAAATTAAGACATTTTTAGAAAGGCTTAAGACTTTAGTGACTTTAAAAAAGACTAACATTTCTAGTAAACTGTGTGACTAAGATCAGTAAGACACACCAATGCTTTAATAACCTGACAGCCTGGGGCTCAGGCAAATGCTGACAAAATCCTACTTCAAAATGGACAAACACAGAAGCAGAGTGCCATCACTGAGGTTCTGGCCATAACACAGTAGTTTCACAAAGAAACATTAAAACCATTTTTTTTTTTAATACAAAAATACTTTGGAAGACAGAAAATTATTTCTAAAAGAAGTACTGAAATATTTTTCTGCATCAATAAGTCAGTTCTCCACTCACTTAACAGTCCTCTGGGCTTTGCAGGATGATTCACTTCTGTTTTGCTTTAGCCCATTTCCAATGAGGAAAATGCAACCTCAGCAATGCTTTTGTCTTCTTAAGTTCTGCAATTGGTTTCATCTGAGATATGAGAATTAACAATATGTTTTGCTGTCCCTGTTTACARTATCACTCATTCCTGCCTCTGTTCTTAAGATAAACAGATAATTAATTTCATCTTATTGTCTTCTTTTTGTTCACCAGGCATCTGAAAACAACTTGAAATGTTTAAYGCAAATCTCAATAGTTTTCTGACGTTGCCTCCATACACAATTACTTTGCCAAAGCAACCTCACTTTTCATCTGTCAAAACAGAGAATTGCTTTGTCCACAAGTCAGAGCAGTGTATGTTTTGAGCCTGCGGCTATTTCCAGTTAATTTTAATCTAGCAATTTTTAAATATGAGTAAATCAGAGTGCAGTGAAATAAAGCCACAATCTCCACTGCAGAAATCAGCTGTAAACACCTTCAGTTAAATACRGTTCCTTATTATTAATGTTAATTGTGTCACCATGTAAGCTGCTCTTCTCACTGCACTACTTTATGATTATTTAAGCAGAAGGGTTTYTTATCCCAAATTCAGTGTCTTCTGCAAAATGGCAAAAAGCTGGAATTCCTCTTCAATAGTCAAAACCTTTGTAGAGTTCCATGTTACAGAAAATCAGGCAAGAAATCCAGCCATTCAGAAATCTATGAATTTCTAATCTACTAGAAAATTAGTACACCCAGAACAAGTAAATTTTAAAAATTCACATATTAATGCAAAGTCTTGGAAACACATTTTAAAATATAGCTCTTGTATTAAATTCCCAACTGTGACAGCTCAATAAGAACAGGTGATTTTTACAACWGAAGTCATTGGTGTACTCAAGCAAGTCAGCAGGGGGAGCAGGTAATCAATTTGAGAACAAAAAATACCATAGTCTCTCCCTTTAAAATGTGGAAACATGACAGTGTGGTAACACAGCAATATTGGAACATGAAAGCAGCTAGCATTTATACAGAAAAGCAGGTATTTACRCTAACACATGGTACAGTCTCTTTCTACCATTTGAGCTTTTACTGCCATGACATTTAACACTTYCCTCTCCAAACCTTCACATTTCTTTATAGGATAAGTAAAATTGTCTCTGTATTTAGATTTCACACGGAAGTTTGGGATGCCCAGCATAGCCATATTCACTAGAAAGAGCAGAAATTAAATGACCAAACAGCAAGTGCAATGACTCCACACATAATGAAACCAGATATCAAAGAACCACCCCTGTATGAAAAATGCCATAGAAATTTAAAATAAGAACAACTATTACTTGACCAAAATTCCCTTAATGGRAGCCAACCATAAAACAGTTATTTTCTCATGTGTGCAGGTTTACAAAATAACATCTAGGAGATACGAACTCTCTATACATTTCAGAAATATATTAATTTAAAACTGTAACAGATAATTTACAGTTAATAGATTATTTTACTGTTGGTGATTTGGGAACTAACATAGATCTGTTCTTATCTTGCTCTGCATTTTCTCTCTGAATTAAAAAATAAATCTCAGCTGGTTAAAGCTGCCAAATACCTCTAGCTGTTTTTATTAAACATTTTTATAAAGAATTTTACATTTAAGCTTGTGACATGTCCTTAAAGTAAAATCCACAAGCTATGTAAAACAAATTAAACAATTAAGCTTGGGCAAAGATCATTTAATAAGCTTATTTTTAATTTTCACATTCAATTCAATAAAAGTTTCTTAAAATCCTTAATCACATTGAGAGTATCCATTGCATTATATGAACTACAGCAAAGATGAGTGACAAGCAAGTATCAGGTGGCACTGCAAAGACTCGATTCAAGATGATGGTCCCTGCCCTGAAGTATTCATGAGCCTCTAAGCAAACTCTAGTATCTCCTTGCATGATCAGTGATTAGACTGATAAACAAAAGCACTGTCATGGGACTTATATCACCAACTTGCATCTTATTTACTATGGGAAAAAAAAAACAAAACACCACCATCCTCAAAATTGTGAAGTGACTTTTATTCTTCAACTTCGACAGTTCACTATTGGCCAGTGATTCAAATACCATATTAGCAGTAACAAGTATCATATTTTAAGATCAAAAGTAATTTTATGAAGTTTCCCTTGAAATGAAGGAGTAATATCTGACTTCTTACCTGAAACTCATCAAAACACAGGAGAGCAGCCTCTTTGCTTATTTCCTCTGCCACTGGTGCAATTGGGTCATACGATTTGGCCATAAATCCTGCTTTTCTCTTTGGCAAGCTCTGCTTAAGGCGATGTATTCCTTRGAGGATAAMACAGARAAGAACAAAATTTCTTATTTYGTTTCCTGRGATAGAAGAACAAAATTACTTAGCYAACAARTAAATAGTAAATTGATCCAGTAAAAATAAGAAAGCTTCAAACTTAATCCAGTTTCAAGATGGTAAAACTCTTTTCAACCACATCCACACAACTGTTAAAAGCTCACAGATTTTGCAATTCATACTTCATTAAGAAGTATGAAAAACAAAAATCAAAAACATCTTGAATGCTATGCCCTTACAATTTATCTTCTATAAACTGATACAACTTACAGTTTTATCTTGCTCTGAAGGTACTCTTAGAATGCATTTGTCTAAAAGAATGCAGAYGTAGCAACACAGTTATACTTCAACATGTGAAGATGATGATACTGGMACAAGGTTAAGATTATTAAATCCAGACTTTACTGTCTCATGGATTGTATTGGATCTAACTATAAACAAACATTCAGAAAAAAAAACCCTGCAGAAGGAAGATACCTCTGTTAAGATTAAGCACAAATGACAGAAATCTCAGAAAATCTCAAGAGTAATCCAGCAATAATGGAAAAGCAAGCACTAAAAAGTGGCTTGAGTTATTTACACCAGTGAAAGCTTCCCAAGAAAAACGCAGCTGTCACAACACTTGTAAAATACAGCAATAGTTAATAATTTGACAGTATTATAAGGTAATAGAATTCAGAAACAGAAGCAAGTTTTAAAATATCTAGAACAGCAYCTCTGTCAAAACAAAGCGTCTTACTGAGCTGATCAGAAAACTTTCTGAAACTTAGGATGAACTTTTTTCTATTACTTTTTTCCTCTAAATTACTGATAGCTTTACTAAGTTAGTCAACCAGAATAGTTCYCATTCTCCTTGGCATTTATATCTGATTTAGTTATTGCTTATTCAAAATAYAGATTGAGTTTAACCTTTATATTTTCAGTTTTGGCAATTGCCTCCTTCAGATTTCATGTGCGCTAATTAGTACATGGAAAACATTTAGTTAAGGTTTTCATTCTAAACAATACACTCAAGTTTATATATACAATCAGGTGCATATATTTTTCTTTCAGAAAAGATACTTGAGAAATAATATGCAATTATTATTTATGCTGGTATGACAGACAATGCTAAAATGCTTTTTCTCCTAATTTCTTTATTTTTCTATGCTTAAATATTTAAATAAAATTACAGTGATTAATATGAATATGAGATAGACTTTTTAATAGATACTGTATATCATAAAATTCTTGTCAATACCTGTGTCTGCACTTACTCTGGTGTACATCCAACATGAAGCCATGAAAATGAACTCTCTTTTTCCTTTCTACTTCTAAGTGAGAATAGAACATGTCCATCACCATTGTCTTTCCTGTGCCTTCAAATAAGAACAATAAAAACACTCAACAGGTAGTTAATTTAAGAGCAGTATGTACTGATTACAGTAATGATTGTTTGTTAGCTTGGCACTAATGAAACCATAATTTTCCACAGAGTAAGTACAAAACCAGACTGCTGCGAGGAACAGTTATGTCTTCTGTTCAAAACCTTGGAACAACCATATTTTTATTTTTCTGTTTTAAAATCTTGATTCATACAGAGATGGCCCAAAGGTTGCACAAATTACTCCCCACACATCCATAAAATATGTTAGTATCTCCTTTGTAAAGCAAGTATGTTTTCAAACTGCACTGTTGCAATTAGAATATATGAATTCTCTCCCACAATTATTTCCCAAATTCTTAAATTGCATTCTTAAATATTAGTGAATGGGTAATGCTGAAAACAACTACACAGAGTAATGTGGCCCAATCAAACAGCTTCCAGCATTCAGAGGGTAATTATATTAAAAAACATCAWAATGTGGAAGACAATGAAGCCTGTAAAATTCATTAAACCAATGAAGCTGTATAAATATAAAGCTTTCAGACGCTTCAGAATTTGAACAGACATGCATTTAGAGAAAATTCCTTTGGATGCAAATGAAACTTACCAACATCTCCATAGACATAAAGACCTTTGGGGGGTTTGGTTTTGGCAAAGAGCTGCAAGTCAAGAGAAAAAGAATAAATATGGMTATGGGGTAAAATAAAAACAAGCACATACCTGTAGAAAAGTAAGAAAGTAGCTACAGTTAACCMCAACAGTAGCACTAGGTAGCAAAGTGCAACCTTGAATAAACTACTAGTTCAGAATTCAAAAGTAATRTTATCATTTATTTGTGCAAATTCTCTATAAGAAGCAAAACACACATGCAGGGCTTGGGACTTGGGTTTTTGCAGTTTTTTTAGATAATTTTGAAAATATGACCATCCCCAGTCCTAGCACACATGCCTTTTTATCAGAACACATAAAATGATTTAATGTTTCCAAATCCACCATCATCAAAACAAATCCTTTTCCTCATTAAGCCATTTGAGCAAATAGTCCTAGAAAAAAAGGATATAAAATTAAGCAGCATTGTACTATTCATAGATACATACACTAAATATCTATTAGAGCAGGTTTGTTACAGAGATAAACTACTAAGATTTAGCAAATCAGTACTGCAAAGACCGTGAACATTGTACGTCCTCTTTCTCTCAGCTTCAAATATAAAACACAGAATATCTCTGATTTAAACATGATTTAAATCAATGGAGCCACAGAAAAGTGTGTACCTATATATATATATATATATATATATATACACACACATGTGTCTGTATATGTAAAAACGTATAAAAAATATCTTTTCAAAGTATGCCTTTTATTAACCATTTTTTCATGTGAGTTACTTTTAGCTGGAATGAATACTGCTTAAGAATTTTCAATTTCCTAATATTATTCAGGACATATATTATGACACATGATGGCTTATTCTATTTTACTCAAGTATATATTTTCATGGAAAAACTTCCAGTAATGCCAAGACTTTAAATTTGAAATACTCTGCTTTTCCTTTCTTTTATTGTGCATAGCCACTTCCAAGTATAATTCTAAAAAGAAACAGTCTTTAAAAAACTGGAGATCTTAACAAAATTCAATCAAATCCATGAAACTGAATTGACATCCACAAAAAACACTGCAGAAGAGTATTCACTTATTTTAAAGTGCTCCATTTTCAGAGCTCTATGGGCTGAGCCAACACAGAGGAAAATTAAAATTGCAACCCTGTGGTCTCATTTGGAGCTGGGTAATTGCTAAACAACTTGAATCTAAAGCACTTTTTCAAAATACAGTGCCATGTTAAAGAAATAGAGGAGTCAGTATAGAACACTAATTAAATATGAAAGAAAATGCATAACCAAAAAATAGAAGGGTAATATCTYGGGTCTGTAGTACCAGCTCACTGAAAAAATATGCAAGCATGGCTCTTACATAAGAGCCCTTTTAGATTTAATTTAGATCTCTATTAATAGGGTAATCAAAAATTTGTATCATCAATCTGTGTCTGGAAAGGGTTTCAGATGTTTGGCAACTATTCCATTAATTGACAAGGCTGCAACTATTTGCTAGTACTTTGAAAGCATTGTAAGACAATTTAATTGTTGAATTTTTTCCAGTGTGTACTTTTTAAGRGCTGGCACTCAATAAAACTACTGATGCTCAAAGTTACAAGAGAAAAGGAAAATGAGAGACTTTCAAACTAATTTCTTTGGATTTAATCTTATATGAACAACAATCATTTTAACAATATAAAAGAATATCACACTCTATTGTACAGGAAGGCTGTGTTAACATGATTAGCAGTTTCACAAGGAATGATACAAAGCTAGAAAAACAAATCAATTTGTAGAGTACAGCTTTACCTGTTTTTGCAAAGGTTATTTAACCAGAACAAATATTAATGCCTCCATTTTTTTTTAACAATTTTTTCAGTGTAAAGTTTTTTTTAAATTACATTTAACTATTTTAGTATTTGTCTTTTTAGGCATASTTATTTTCTAGATAACATATTACAGGAAAAGGGGTGTTTGACTAAAGGAAGCAAATATAATGGCTTGGGCTCTGTAAAAGTCTATATTGACTTTTGTTTGATTTAAAAAATGGAATTAGTTTCCCTTTGAAGACAGCAATTTTTGAGCAGTATCTAATGGATACTGTGGTAGATCCAACCATATTTGCTGAAGCTAACCATCTTTAAAACCAAACCAAAGGTCAGAAAACCTCTTGTCCTCTTTCAGAAATTAAAAGAGGTTTGTAGGAAATATTTTACATATACATCTCACAAACACCACACTATTGGACAGCTTTAGGATAACGACTTCCTCATTCTTGTCAGATATTGTATAACCCTAAGAATTTGGTTTTATATTCTTAGTTTGGTTTGGTTTTTCTTTTCTTAACATACATTTTATTTCAAAAAAACTAAAATTTGATCAGTACATTTTTAATACTGAAAACTCARACATCCTACCAGTCTCAAGCTATTTTGCATGATCATAAAATGGATTTTTTTTTAATTGTTCTAATGAATCTTCTGAAGTCTGGAAGTTGTTTAAGAAAAAGGACAACTTCTTCTAGGATTGCTGATAAAATCCCATCAATGTTCTTGACTCAATTTAAAGCACAGAAAGCAGTCATAAAAGTCAATGATATGGTGGGAGTAAAGAAAGCAGAAGACTGATCTTGGTTCTATTCAAACACACACTCTGCAAGAAGGAGGGGGAGATCTAATGCAGAAGATGCTCCAGTCACCCTAAAATAAGGACAGTCTACTTTATTGCATTAGRAAAGGGAGAAAAGTAGGAAATATGGAAGACAAACAAAATTAATGAGCTTCTCCTTGCTCATTTCCATATTATCCTGAGGTATATTTRGGGTCTCAGAATAATAATGTTCAATTTGTAGACAGTATACTTTCTTTTGCAACAGTGATAAGATTTAAGGATGTTAAAGTTAATATTTAAAAGGTACTAACCCAAAGATATTAAATGATGATCAAAATTTGAGTTTGAAGGGAAGAGTATCTTTAGTAATGCACAATGTCTTCCCACCTTCTCCCGTGTTCAGACACCAGAARCAAGCAACTCATTTCCTGTGAACATTTACAGCCAGATTGGAAAAACTATTAAGTGAAAATGCATGTCAGTGTTAAGACAGTTAATTAAAATATGCAAAATTCCAGAGACAAGTCTCCCAATAGCAGATTTTTTTTTAAACATTAACAAAACTGCCTTTTTCTCCCACTCTTTCAGGCCTCCTTYTTGGCTGCTGTTGTAGCTGAAGACAGTTTCAAGGTCTTGAATGGTGTTTACTATTGTTCGTACCTCTTTTCAAAACATGACCTCATTTATAATTGAGCTTATTTCAAGTCATTAGTACAGCAACTCAACAACTCTTAAGATGCCCCAATTGGTATAATTTTGAAAAGCTGGAGATCTGAAATGTCTATGCAAACTCTTATGGCCTTGAACTTCAATTCAGAGTATTTCAAAATATCTCAACATACAAGGCCATGCTTTCACCAAGTTGAAGATCAAAGTCCTTGTTCAAATTTGAGGAGTAATTTTGAAAAACAGAAGCCTACTTGGCCGGCAGTAAGACTAATTGTTTTTTCCCCTTAGATTCATTCTAAGCTGATGCCCCAAAACCCCTACATCATAACAAAACTGGGAGTTTTATTACCATGAAGAAAATGGCCGGTGTCATGGTGTGTCTGTGTGTCTGTGCCCCCAGACTACTCATTTCAGAAAGGTTTGGCCTGTGAGGTAATACAAGTGTTTTGGATAAAAAACTGAAAGGCTTCTATTGTATCTGACCCAAATATTTGCTTCTTAGTCCTACTTTTACCATATTTGTGTGAATAAAACCATTTAGGTAAAAAGTGACAGAAGAACAGAGCTAAAACCAAAGCAGACCATTCTTGTAATGGCTCAGAAGTGCAAGAAGTTTCTATTTCTGGAATAATTGCTATTTTGGAAGAGGCTTCTGCAATTCTATCACAGAAGAAATTAGGCAATAAAATAAGGAATATCAGACTACAGAAGAGGCTGATAGAGAGAGGCTTCCCYTCCACCATCCCTTTTTATTCACTGTAACCTCTCAACCACATTCTCTTCAATGACAGAGCCAGGAAAAATAAGCACACTTGAAATGCCAAGCACCACTATTTTTTTTTATTTTGAAAAAGCTGCCAGTAGATTAATTTTCCTCAATACGGGAGATTTTATACTGGGCTATTCAAGTTGCTAGAAACCTCCTGAAAAAGCAAGAAGTCAACATACAAAATACTAAGGATAACTGATAAAGTATTTTATTTTTTCAAAATAAATTCTTAGTCAATTTAAAACACATCCATTTGTTTCCTTTACATCTATTAAAATCCCATTAAGTATAAAACAGAAAGCAAACCCAATTGCTTCATCACAAAARCCTGAGTGTATTTTAAGTTACAAAGCACCCAGCCTCCATGAGACGGGAGGCCAACGAGCTATTCACAAACACAGGATTCACCTGTGCCCTGTATGATTATGCTGGAGAAGCCTTTACTGGGCACATGAACAAATTCCACCCATAAAGTTCACAAATCCTGTTCAACCCAGGCTAGCTCCAGACAGCAGTACCCACCACCACCTCTTCCTGGCATGAAAAGTCTTAGTTCTTCTGATTGAATCAAGTCTGCAGCAGCATCACTATGGTGAAAGTCCATAAGAGAAAACCAAGTATTTTGCTTATTTAGAAAACTCCTAAATAGATGCAAACATAAGATAAGCCTACGATTTTACCAACTATCTAGTCACATTTGTGACTTACTCTGGGGAAACTTTCATTAAGATGTTGACTACAACTTTGCTGAAGCAAAACCTGGCCTGCACTAGAATTTAAACTATACTGTTTGGCTTCATTTTATCTCAAAAGGAGTTCTCTTTGAACTGGCAAATTACTTCCTCAAAGAGAGTAGAAGAGAAACAAAGCTGTTGTGACTTCTTTACTCTGAGTCATGATTTCATTTAATTACACAAAGCAGCAGGCTTTGACAGATTTATGCAAAAGTCACTGTTCTCATCCTTTTTTGGCSTTTTGATGCATGGCACAGCACTACAGTGTTCAACCTGATTATCCATCTTAAGATTTCCATAGAAATATCAAACTCTAGAAGAAAAACTGCAAACTGCAACAAAACTTGCCTTAACAGCAAGCAGTGCTTCAGTGCTTCTCACTGACTGGGGCACTAGTTCCATCAGTGAGCCATGCAACAATTTTTAAAAAGTGGTTTAAAATGAAAWCAATGTTAAATGGAGAAGTGGACCRCTTTACAGGAATTAGTGAAAAACACATTCTCAAGTAAAAAAAAATGGCATTAAAGTAATAAAGTGTTGGTCTGGCTGTAYTGCAATTAGTTCCGTTGTGCAGGGAGAATGAAGCATCACATTTCCTAAAGAGAGCAAGGTAAGTACTCTGCAATACAAGCTTTCTTCCCTATTCACACTTCCTAATCAAAGAATCAGTAAATAACAAACACACATMACGCTTGATCTACAAAGCCATTACAAAACACCTGCTCTAACAACTAACAGCAAAGTGGGACACTCCAGTTAAAAAAGTCAGCTCTCAAAATTATTCTCCAAGGCAGTACTTCTAGAACTTAATATCCAAATATCCAAAACATCTTGCCAGAAAAGATCAAAATGCTSTAGCCTACTGATCCTCAGGTTTGACAGTATGGCAAATGCCTTCATCATAAACTTTTTTCTAAAAAAAAAGAGAAAATTAATAAAAGTCTGGCATTTATGTCCCCCGCCCAAAAAAAAAAAAAAGAAAAACAGGAGCAAATCTGATAACTGGTTCCCTTTTGAATGACTTCTTTCACAGTCYGGGTACTGTGTAAGACAATTCTGAGACAGGCAAGTTAAAGACAGTAAGACCAACACCAAAGATAAAAAAAGAAACCAGGACAGATGAAAAAACCCTGAAACTCAACCCAACAGCTTTTTACATCCAGGATCCTCACAAGATAAAAGACATTGATCAACAGATTAAGATTCAAATTAAACAAGTAGTTTAGCAAGCTGAATCTAGCTTGGTCTCCGTACACWTAAGCAAAAAAGGTTTGCATTCAGRCATRCTACCATASTGCTCTGGGTACCAAAKATAAGMAATAAGCATTTTTGAGAACAGGAAGTTTCTATTTTTCATTTGGTACTTGCCCAAACTGAATCAGAGACTGGTTTAGACTCAAGAGTTAGCCCACAAATCCATCAAGACAACATGAATCCACAGGCATACCCCCAAACACAACATGACCAAGTGTTAAAATAAACATACAGTTTTCAGGCTACATTTRTCATTTTTACACTGCTTTTACATTTTTATAGTTTTAATTAAATAAATCCCTAAAGTAAAAAAGTAATGTGATGACCTGACCCAACTGCCAGAGAAGGCAAAAATATAGCCCAAACCATTGTTTGGCTCCAATTCTCACATCAGAGWTAGAATCATTGAATGATTTGGRTTGGCAGGGATTTTGGGGGATCACATGGCAAAGCACCATGTTTAAAGCTGATTTGAAAGGGACCAATGAGGATGATGGGGGCAGCTGCTTCCAGAACAGACTTTCCAAAGACACATTCAATGCCCTTTAGAAACAGTCTTGCCTTAGGACTTGTCTATTTGTGAGTTGTTTTCTTCCAGAGTGCCGGACTTTTACTTCATGGAATTACTTCCCATTCAGGTTTSTTCTTAATAAAAAGCTCTTTCCTAGGTGCTTAGCCTTCTTCCTTCCATCAGGAGGCAGGAAGACATTTATGGCATTTCCACTCAAGCATATGACTAGCAAGCACATGATCTCCAGCTACATATCCAAGTTTAAGGCATTGTGGGAATGTTGCAAGCAGACAGATAGGCAGGCGTGTCCTGATGCTCTGCACCCTGCCACTCTACCCTGTTTGACACAACTCCATTAACTTGTATACTTGTATAATACTTGCTCCCTTTTTCACACCTTGAAGCTAATATCCATCACAAGAGCCTTAGAATAGTTAATGTGTCATTTGGTGCCTGAAGGCCAGAGAACAACTTGMCATTTCAAGGCACTTGAGCCCTCTAGGCTTTGGTTCCCCTGATCTCATGCTACATCATTTAGTCTTGGCCTGCAAACAAAATATAGTATTTCTGCCAGGTAAGATTTGGGATGGTTRGATAACAAGTTCAACAGAGTTACATATTTAGATTTATGCTCATGAGATGAGGACTGTTGTGTAATGAATGCTGAGAAAGGCTAAGACATGGAGATTTTGTGAGCAAGGACTGCAAATTATGGTAGACTAACCATAAATGTTATAAGTTACTCCTGACAAAAAAAAAAAGAACCCAAAAGTGGTGCAAGAGAAAGAGAGGAAGCAAAAGAAAAACACTCAGAGTCTAACTGGGAAAACACTGACAGTTTCCCTCCTYCTGAGGGCAGGGAAGTCTCTCCAGTGGAAAGCACAGATGAGAAAGCAATGTGTATTTCACCATGCTTTTTCCCCAGCACTATACTTTTATCATCAGATTTAGTCAAACTCTTGTTCTTGTTGGACCATAGCTTACAACTGTGCTRACTGGAATATGTCAATCAGGTGCAAATGAAGTACATTCACTGGGCATTCAGCTTTTGCACACATCAATGACTGCCCAGTATATAGCAAGGAACAAATATATCTTATCTGCTTTGCTGGGCGCTACATTTGGTTTTCTGCATATAAACTCAAATCTACAAAACATGGAGCAAGGAAAGCTGAGGGAAGAATTCCCACACCAGTTCTAGCTGTTTCCCATGAGAAYGTGCCATAGCAGTGCTATCAATATTCGCAGGTGCAAGGCCACCAGAGCAGCAGTCTGAGAATAACAGCATGAAAACAAGACATGGAAAATACTGTCAAAGAGAGTCTCGAAAACATTGTGTCAAGAGCTTCAAGGAAAAGTTACAAAGATGCAACAGCAGGCTAACAGCATTAGTAACACTAAGGCACTGTGATCCTCACAGCACTGTGCAACACAGTGTGTATGTCTAAACTTCCCTAAATCCTTTGAAAAGAAATTGTGATATCTCCAAAAACATAAGAGTGCAAATTATACCCATGCCTTCTTTCCTTACTTCACCTGGACAACAGTAACATRGAAAAGAATTGTTTCTAAAAGTCATGTCTGATAAATATTATCATATGGAATTATTTGTGGGATATCTGTTAGAACAGAAAACATCAGTGTTCAGTTTACGTAACACAAACACACAGTGCTTAAGAGTTAAAACCTAGTTTAGGCCTGGCCTCCTACAGCCAAATGACATTTTTGGAAAGGCAGGTAGTGGACATAACTAAAACCATATCAAATTTTCTCACAGAATTATTTCAATAATATTTAATTTGGTTACTTCTGGAGTGCCACTGGATTTTACAAATCAAAAAAGAACAAGAGAGATTGAAACATGATTAATGATGTATCTGGAAAGACATATTTGTAAAAGTAAGATTTGTGCTCTTGACAGAAATTTATGCATTTTAATCACATTCTTATGAGCAAATAAAAATGCAAAAAATATTTTTATCATTATAAACCTCACCTTTGAAAGAACATTTTTTGAATCAATGCTGTAGCCTTTAAGGTTTTCATGCAATTTCTGCAGGTGCTGCACAACTCTTCTTTGTTGCTCATCATTCCTCAGCTCTTCATGCTTAATCAGAAACTCATAATGTTCCAAAGGTCCATTACAAACTAACAAAGCTCTGGCATGAACATCTGTTGGAGTACCAAGGCCTGTCTTCTCATCTGCCTGAGCTGTGTAGGCTGTAAAAATAAAAGTAACCAATTAATAAAGAAGTTTTGAAAAGCATCTCCATATAAACAACACTCATTCCTAACAGTTTACACAAAGACATATATACATGACTTGCCTATACAACCACCAGTTACCTCTTCATTTTTCATTAATTCAATTTCTAACTTTACTCTAGCAGTATATTTTTTTTTTTAATTAACAAGTACACACTCTAAGAAGTCCAGCTTGAGAGCTGATAAGATTTGGATGAGCTGTTGGAAGTTTTGAACATTTTTTTACAAACTGAGGTRAAACCATTTAAAAATTCCAAAGTGCATTTCTCCAAATAGATAATCCCTTAGTTAAAACGTCAGGATGTATTTAAAAGTCAACAAACAAGAGACCAAACCAGGAGTTCTGTAAGGAAGTTGAAAGACTCAAACACCACACTAAGCAAAGGCAATAGCTGTGAAGCCCTGCAGTGCCACAGTCTGATCTGCTGGCATTATCTTCCACCTAGAAAAGACAGGGACAAGCCCAACTAAGAATACTGTCAGAAAAAAGAAATTTTTAAAAACTCAGAATTGCTAGACATAAAAGAAGACATAACTAGGAAAGGAAAGAATGTACAAGATTAGAAAGAAAGCCTGCAAAATCATTAAGATCAGAAACAATGGCACACAYTGAAAAGCTGTAAAATATCTTCTTTGCTTCCACTGTCATTTAAAAGGTTAAGTGTAATAAAGAAAAACACAATTAGTAGCAACGATAAAATAAATAAATTTGCGTGTAGGAAAAACGTGTCAAAGACTACATAGTAAGGTATTTTTTAACCCTGTAAGCTCTAAGGAAATCCATTCCTAAATACTTTAGGTAAGTTTCCTAAGCAACACAATGGCCTGATCTATCAGCTTTCTTTGAGGTCTCACTGAAGGTAGGTAAAATTCAAAAACACTAGGGAAAAAAATTGTCTTTAAAAAGGAGAGAAAGGTAAATCCAGAAATTTAAAGGTCAATCAACACAGGAACAACTATAAGTTGTTTTTTGTTTTTTTTTTTAAATAAAGCACTTAACAAGGTAACAATAAATAATATGCAACATCAGCTCCTCAGGAACAATACAAGATTAACAAGTTTCCCTCTCTGATTAGGCAAAATGCTTAATGGGTAGAGGAAAAGCATATTAATTGTWGTAACATTTTTGTCACATAATATTGCTGTCTATAAAGTAGGAAAGTAAGTTGCCAGTGAAAGTTCTTTTGAGCAGGTACAAAAAAGTTGGAAAAAGGATATGTAACAAATAACTACTACAGTTAAACTAGGTGYATATCTTGCAGTAGAATTTCAGAGAGGGCTCAGGATCTCATGGTGGTGCAACCCTGATTTTCACCCACACCATTAATACGGCAAAATAAAGTACACAGACTGGGAATAAATAATAGAGAATTGGGAGGGGGCTGCAGATACTCTGGAAGGCAAGTAAATTCTGACAAACTGGACAAATAATCCAATACTAATAGGATGCAATTCAACAGGGACAAAGCATGTTATTTAGATTAAATAACTAACTCAGGAGATGGAGAATAACCAGCTAAAGAGTACCTCTGCAAAAAAGGATCCAAGGGCTACACTGGATTACAAACTGACAGTGAGACAATATTGTAACACTATTAGAGGAAAAAATAAACTAAAATAAAATAAACCAAAGTACTCCAATATAAACACACACGAGGAAAAAAAAACTCTGTTCTATGCAATATTGGTATAGTCTGCCCTGGAAGACACTTTCCAATTTTCACATCTTATGGTATGAGTAATATGAACCAAATGGGAGAGTAAATGGAGATTTAAAAGACTACTTTTTAAAATATAAATTTTCTTTTTAAATATTATTTTTAAAACAACCCACAAAGATGCCATAAAAGACACAAAAAGTGTTTTAAATAGCTATTAAAAAGAGCATATTAGAAAAGAGGATAAAACTGAACTATTAGATTAAATTATATTTATTACAAGTAACACTTTCTCCATAAAAAGACAGTCCCTGTTTATAACTGCAGCCAATAACTGCAGCCAATAACTGCACCAAATTCTCTTGCTCCGGAAGGAACTGAGTTACTGTTTTGAATTAAGAGTAATTAGCTCATCCCTATCTAAAGAGCTCAAAGTCTGTTAATACAAAAATGAGTAAAACCTGTAGAGAAAAAAAACATGAAGCAGTCTCCAGACACATACAGAGTACTGAGAAAGTGAAAGGRAACAGTACTTGTATAGATATCTTAATAACCATAATCAAGGCAGTGAAATAAATTAATATTCTAGAAGCTGTGGAACTTACAATGATGTGGTGAATTTTAAAACTAAGTTTGATGAAAATCTGTGAAGAACAGGTCAGCAAAACCTGACCCGCCACTAAAGGAAAGGGGAAAAAGCATAGATCACACAATTGTAGAACAGCTTGGGTTGGAAGGGAGCTGAAGTATCATCTAGATCCAACACTCCTGCAATGGGCAGAAAACACCTTCCACTAGACCAGGCTGCTTAGATGATATCTCAAAATTTTTTCATCTTGTTTTCCACCATTCTGATCTCAAATAAAGTCAATCTCAGTCCTGTGATCCATACCTCTGAACTATYTGTGCCTTTGCAATACATAGAAATTGATGGCTCCAAGAGCTCTGATGTGTCCCCTTATACCTATAAATCTACAAGTTCCTGCTGCTTACCACAGGATCAAAAGGAAAAAAAAAATCAAATAAGCCAATTTAGAAGTTAAGAAAGGGTTTGTGGCTCATGATCTCCCTGGCCATGAACGAAGCAGACCAGGTCAGAAGCACAGGGTTTGTCTCAGATTACATGTACTCACAGCTAACCATCCTGGCAGTAGAATAAATACTCTGTCATTAACAGATGACAGAGATGAAGACTATGCCCACGTGGCCACAGAGGGTGTCCTGGCACAAATCACTCACTGTTATCCTAAAATAATATTGAACACTGGCATTTAAATATGATGAGAGTACACTATCGTACACTACCAGGAGACACCCAGTTAAGCCACACCTGCTGCTGCAAAACAGAGGCAGACCCACCAAAAAGCATGTGGGGTTTTAGACTAAGTCAACAGAAGGCAGTTATACAAGTGATAAATTATTCGAAGAAACAAAAAAATGTACACCTTCCATTCTAACCTGCATTTTGCAGAACAGACTGCAAAATCAATCACTTAACTACAGGAATCACCTATGATTCAGTGCACTAATTGTAGTCCTACAGACCTCCTCTCCACATTGCAAAATACTGTTTCATTATGTAATCTTTGCATTACAGAAACTGTTATTCAATTTTTATTAGCTCCCATCTGATATTTTTGTCACACACAAAAAAAGCATCTTCTACACCTATGTATATTCTAGATACAACTAGAGAAAAGCACAGCATCAATTCACTGTTCACTTAGTTTTACACAAAACAGTGTAAAACTGGACATATGGTTATCCACAACCTATCTTTCCCCCATGCAAGGTGCAGGACACTGTTGGATGTCATCACATTTAGCCTGACATTCTCTGCTTCTTTAGATTTGACACCAAGGTGCAATTTTTTCATAAATTTCTGTTCCCAAAACATACATACGTACGTATAATCTCACTTTATTTCAAACCATAAAATTAGCTCTTTGCATTTGCCTTTCTGCTTGCCCATACAAGGATCACAGACACAGGTGAAGGCCTACTGTGATACACCAAGAAATCAAAGGGGAAAAGGCAAATGGAACTTACTACAAAAATGCCAATCTGGAATTTAAAAAAATTCTTTCAAGTGGGGGACTTAAGACATATTCAGTAAACTGACATTAATCTACCTCTGTAAAGATAATTGCCTACATAAAAATATAAAAAGTGTTCTTAACTCCAGGGACTTCCTGCTCTAGAAATGAGCAGCACATTGGAATACTGATCAGTATGTTGTTGAGCTTTTCTACTGCCACTTAGAACTGATGWCACAGATGACACAGAAAAGGCACACAAATTTCAGTGACACAGCTTATGAAAGAAACAGTCACAGCTGAGGCAGGCACTAGAGTTATTTATGCAAGAGGACAAACTGAAATGGACATTGGGTTGTGGCATATCAAAACTGATCCTGACAGCAGCCACAAGGCTGAGAGCACTGAAAGGTAACCAAGATGAGAGACAGCAAATTAACATTTTCCCCCTTCCACTTTGCTGTAATGGTTAATTACTGCTTGTCTTTAAAAAAAAAAATATCGCCAACCATAGTTCTGCAAGAACTGCATCTAAACCAAACCCATGTAGGTTACAACTACACCAAAACTAAGTATCCCAAAACCATCCAACTGCCACCTTTGCTGACTGTCATAATCAAGAATCTGGGATAGATTCTGCTAATCAGTGTTAATGCAAGGTACAAGGATCACATCTGTTTCATTACTGTTCTGCCAGCACAATCTGCCTTGAGAGCTTTTCACAAACACTGGAATATGTGTGGGGAAAGGGAAAAAAATAATAGAAACCAACTTTTAAAAAACCGTCATGTTTTCCAAAATCTAAGATGAAGTTCATTATATTAGCTTGGGTCACAATGAAGCCAAATTGCTTCAAACCTTGAAACTCTTCAGCATAAAGCTGCTAAAACTGCCGATGAAACACAACTGCCATGACAGAAAAAGAGGACTTGGAAGTCAGAGGGCACTTTCATCAACAGGCAGATGGAGGTATTAGAGAYCTTCCTAAACTCAAGGTTAAGCTGGTAACAGAACTGCTGCAAAGYCTTTCCTTCTTAGGTGACACCAGAGTGAGAAGGAAGGGCAATGGTACAGTCTTGTAGCTCCAAAGGTTATTTTCCTGCGCGAAAAAAAGGAGCAAAGGTAGCAAAATATCAGAAAGTAATTTTTTTTTTTATGTTAGTACTGGTAAACAATAATAATGTCCTCTTGTCTCATCTTTTATTAAATATATATTGAGGTTTTGCAGAATCAGCCTCAAATGGGTAAACTGTCCCATGATGTACAAGGATTTGGATAAATTACACACAGGTGTTAAAGTTAAGCATGTGAAYAAACCTGCAGAAGAACAAAGACTTGTCATGTAAGCTTCTTGGGAAAGAGATCATGTGCTGGGTATAAAGCTAAAAATACATTTTTAGTCCTATAATAAGCAATTGCTCCTTTCAAAACATTGTATAATGATTAATGACAATGTAAAAGGAGGCAATCTGAAAAACTTATTTACTTTCCAGTGCTTAATAGAAAGCTCAAAAAATCAGAATCCAACCAACGGTATTGGTGGGGGGGCATACACACAGATTATGTTCTCCATACAAATTGAAAATGTTTGGCCAATATCACATAAAATTCATAAATGCCTCACACTTGCTGAAATGAGTAGTTCAAACCAGAAGCAGCAGTTTGCAGTAAGACATTAGGACAAGGACTTGCACCTTTTTTCGTTATTCTACCTTCAATGAATCACTGAAGGCTAAAGCATTCCTGCAGGCCATTCATTCAGGCAGCACATGAAAAGTATTTAATCTTGCACAGAAACAACAGTTGGAACCAGAATCCTGCTTTTTGCATAAGCCTGATACATTATTCTGAAAGAATTTGTTTTTTACCCTGCACACCCCGTTTAACAACCTGACCTATAGATGAAAGTAGGGAAAGCCAAGAGAAGTTTATCAGTGAAATAGGAACTTTACACAGATACTACTTGTCAAGTCTTTTAATTTAAGAAAATTACAAAACTCTCTAARGCAAATCACAAAACCCAAGAAAATACTATAAATCAGTGATCATCAAACCAAGATTATAAATCACTTCAGTGATGGCTGCCCATCCCTGCAGTTTGATTTCCTCAAACAACATGCAAAAGGACTATCTTCCCTTTAACAWGGAAACTGAAAAACTATGCCCAGAGTCACTGGATTTGCTCTGACAATTTTTTCTAAATGCTAGTATGTTGGTTATTAAAAACAAACWATGTAGAGCWCAAGTGTTTGCCCAATATCAAAYAAAACACACACAAGTCYAGTACTAMCWGCAGTGCTTGTCTATTTTTCTTACGATGTACAAATACTACACAATCACAACATAATGTATAAATGTGAACATTTATCAATCCTGGGACCCACCAGTCACCAGCCAAATTCTGACACTTTTGCCAGACTGGCAGAGGACGAAGACGTCTCATTTAAGAAAAAAGACCTCTGTTCCTAATTTAACCCAAGAGTTAACAAAATAAATTTGTGCACTGAACTGGCCTTCAAAGGCTATTTAGACAGAGCACAGCTGTGGTTCATTATACACCRGAGGGTCCGTAAGGGAAAAGACTCTCTTTAACACCCTACAGCCGGGCCAAAGCGCTACCAGCCATCGGAGCACTCGCCCAGCGCCTGGTRCAGCCGCAAAGCTTTAACCAGGCAGCGCACCAAAGCCCTATTTCCCAGGGGGAAAGCCGGCACCACCAACCGGGGAAGCCACGGGCCCCGTTCGCGGGTCCCCCAGGACACCGGGGCCGACCCCCGGCGCCACCCTGGGAGGCGGGTCCCCTCCGGGAATGGGTCGCGGACAAGCCCAGGCCGGGTAATCCGAGGACACCGGCAGGTCACGGCAGAACAACGGGGCCTGTCGTGTCCCAGCGTTGCCGTCTGCCCCGTCCGGCACCGGCACCCACCTCCCCTCCGCCGGGGACAGACCCACGGCACGACGGGGAAGGGAGACAGGCACAGCCTCCTGCGACCGCTCCTCAGTGCCCTCCCTGYGCGGTGCCCCGGCAGCTTGTCGCCCGCCCGAGCACAGCGAGCCCCGGAGAGCCGCGGCGGCGGCACTGACCTCTGTGCGGCGGGAGGAGGCAGGCGCGGCRCCCCAGAGCCCGCAGCAGGCAGCGCGCAGTAGCCAAGGGCGACACGAGGGCCGCCATCTTCCCGGCCCGGCCGCGGCGGCGGCGAGAGCGCGGGGCACGCTGGGAAATGGAGTCCCGGGGMGCTGTGGGGGAGCCGCTCCCGCCTGGGTCACGGAATCACCGGGTCCATTAGGTTGGGAAAAACCTCTGAAATTATCGAGTGCAACCTATGACCTAACACCACTATGTCAACTAGACCATGGCACTAAGTGCCACGTCCAGTCTTAAAAACCTCCAGGGACGGTTACTCCACCACCTCCCTGGGCAATACATTCCAGTACCTAATCACCCTTTCTGTGAAGAAATTCCTCCTGATGTCCTAAACCTCCCCTGGGGCAGCTTGAGGTTGTCTTCTCATCCTGTCACTTGTTGCCTGGGACAAGAAGCCGACACTCACCTCACTAAAATCTCCTTTTTGAGCTGTAGAGAGCAATAATGTCACCTGAGTGCCTCCTTGTCCCCAGGTTAAACAACCACAGCTTCCTCAGCCGCTCCTCACAGGACTGGTGCTCCAGACCGTTCACCAGCTTCACTGCCCTTCCCTGGACTCACTCCAGCACCTCCAAGTCCTTCTTGTAGTGAGGGGCCCATAACCAAACTCGAGGTTTGAGGTCTGCCATCACCAGGTACAGGGGACAATCACCGCCCTGGTCCTACTGACCACACCATTGCTGATACCCGCCAGCATGCCACTGTCCTTGGCCACCTGGACACACACTGGATCATGTTCAGCTGCTGTTGACCAGGTCTTTCAGTCATCCCTGGCTCCTTCCCCCTCTCTTTGTCCCSCAAAGTGCTCYACAGGCAGTGGGGCAGCCCCTGGGSAGCCCACMCGCCTGCTTGCCCCAGGGCTGCACTCCCYCCACAGCCACTCCAGATACTCATTACAAATCCACTTTCCAGACCCAACCGGAACCACACGCAACACCTTAACTGCCCTACCTGTGCACTCCAGGCTCCAAACAAYTTCCTTGTCCAYCTCAACATGAGGAAGAGCTTCTTTACAGTGAGGRTGGCAGAGCACTGGAACAAGCTCTGTGTCCAGTGAGGTTGTGGATTTCCCTGTCCAGAGACATTCAAAACCCACCTAGACTCATTCSTGTGTCACCTGCTCTAGGTGACCCTGACATGGACTAGGTGATCTCCAGAGGTGCCTTCTACCCTTCACTATTCTGTGACTCTGTAATGTGTATCTTGCTGCACCATGCCTGTATTGGGTACCACAGCTGTCATCAGGGAGTTTTGGCGACTGAATTTGCATTTGTTGATGATTTCTATCTTGTTCTATTGCTTTTATCTCTAAAATCACAGACCWTAAAATACTAAGGACAGATATTTGTAAAATATTAAGGACAAATATCCCTGGCCAGAGTTACAACCCATTTGCACATCAGCAGTATCAGTTTAATGTCTATCAGTATCACTTTTATGCCTATGAACATATATTTAAAATGCAACAAGATATGTTAACATAAAAACAGATTTCTCTGAAGGTTATGTGAATCCTARAGGCTAATTTAGTTGCAATGTCTGCTTAGCACACAGTAAGCCTTGTCTTTGGTATCAGTTCCCAGATGTGGGATTCCTGAAAACTCCTTGGGAGAACACTGACCACTTTCCTCCTTTGGTAGGTACCTGACCACCTTATCCAAGCACCTCCACTGCAACTACAAAGTTCTTTTGACAGAAAGGCACAATGCAAAAAGCCTGCACTGCAAGGGAAGGGCACTGGCAGTGGGGAATCACTAACCCTAACACTTTCCTGCTCGTTGGTCGGCCTGTCATTCCCACCTGAAATGCACCCAAAGGTCAGGATGGGATTTCAGGAGATGTTGCCTGCAGAGTGCATTACGAAAGAAATAGATAACAAAGTGTCTGTTCCTGAAAAAGCWCAAAGGAAGTGCTTAAACTGACTTTTGGTATTGCAACATCAGAATTCCTACGTCTTTTTCTAGCATTAAATTTCTGTGCAATATGAGAAAGTGAGCAAGTAGTTTTGATAGATTATCAATGAACTYTYTTTTTACAGAAGTATTGGAAAATAYTGCTTTAGAGAACTATAGAATAGCTTGCAAACAAAAGTTATTTTWTACTGAATAGTATTGCTAATTCTGAAAATAATGTTTATGATCTTGGAAATATTAGCAGTGATTGAAGTTACCCTCTAACACGTTCAGCTGTTTAAAATACGTAGTTGCTCCAGACACATCTTTAGTGCTATATACCTAATTAAGTAGTGAATTAAAGTGCCCATTTATCACATCCTAAAAGAGCTGTTTTCAGTGCGTTTTCTTTCATCTTTCCTTTATTGGACATTTACTGGTTTTGACTCATTCCAGCATATTATAGCTATCAACACCTGTGCCCATTTAGGAATGAATTCCAGTACAAATCACAGTGAATTGAATAGACATCTCAAAGATGCATCACAATTGTTGCARTATATTTAGAAACTCAAACAAGGAAACAAACAAATTCTGTAAAAGTGATTTAAATAACAAATAAGTTATCTTTATAAACAGCTTATCTCCTTGAGAACAAAGAATAAACAAGGCAACAAGAGCTGGGTTTTCTTCCATTATTAACTCAGATCACAATATGAATGGGTGAAATGTCAAGAATAATTGGAGAAAATGACAGTATAATCTTCAGCAAAAACATCTGATTTATTTAAATTGTCACTGTTTTTTTCTTAACCTTGCTATGCAAGGCAGCATAGAAAAAATTCTCATTTGGATCTATTAGGAMATCTTCTACCTAAATTAATAAACCTTTGCAATGCTCTGAACCTTCTATACAYTTGCCAACTGAAATGCCACCATGCACTGGATTGCACATCCCAGGAACTCATTGTCCTTCGGCTGTAAGCACTTGGTAAAACCAAGTTTTGGTATTAACCTAAACAAACAGGACTTTCAAGTACATTTCTGCAGAATAATATAGTTAATGTCCTGTAACAGGTACAGATCCATTGTATAGTACATTTGTACCCTTCATTCCCTGTACCTTTGCTCACCTTCAGAAATGTGGCATTGAAACYGTAGAAATTAAATTGGCACTTGTTCAACCCTGCAGCATTATTACTCTGCCAGCTAGCCAAAAGTGGTCTGCAACAGGAACAAAGCAGGAATAAAAATGAGGGGTAAAACCAAATCACTCCAGATGTCTCCTCTGGCCTCCGGTGGTATAACTGCACTGCTTTTAGAAATTTGGATATGCTGAACCCTATGGGGATGGATGGGTCCAAGAGCATTAGGGTCTCTGCCAGAACCTTTTCAAGTTTCTGCAGAAGGAAGGCTGGATTTACCTGATTGCAAGGCTCCAAAATATTCCCACCACAGGAAATATCGTTAGTTCCCAAACACAAAGGTACTTTTCATATAGAAGTGACCATTCAGCCTACTCTATGAAAATGGATTTTGTGGGTACTTTTCATCAACAGTTTCATCAAAAGTAATTTTCCAGGGATTATGTCAAAACACTTTGGAGTAGACTTGATATTAACCTCATCTATTTTGAGACAGTCAAATATGCTGTTAAAAGTCTATATTTCTTATAAAGCCTCAGGTTAATAAAGCTGCATAAATGGTCCCAAAATGATGGACTTACAACCATTTTCACTATCTGTTTACAGTTTGCATCTCAGTCAGCTCAAACAGCTCAATGTGTTAGAAATTCACTGCATTTTTTTCAGCTACACAGGCACTTTTCAGTATCACTCAGAATAGGAGTTCACAGTATATGGGTCTATATATATACATATATAAATGTAGATATTACAAATTATATTTAAAAGCTTAATATTATTATCTTGCAGATGGGAGCACAATGCAGACATTCAAACACCATGTTTCAAAGCACTGGCAGCTACTGCAGGGATCAGGAAGTTATTTTTCCACATAAGGCATTTCACAATTAGCTCAATGCCTTATCCTGAGTCAGCATTCCCCACAAGTTCTGACAAAATATGCCTGTGTTGTCTAAAATGTGCTAACCTGGGCACTTGTCAGAAAGACTGGAGAGTCCTAACAGGACACTGGAGAGATTTAGTTTCCTTTCCTGTTAAATTTCTTTTAAAACATGAAGAAAGAAGAAAAAAAAACAACTGGAGAAGTATTACTATACAAAAATCCAGAAGCAATCATCCGTTAATACCTGCTTCTATGGGTCCCTGCTGTGAGATTCTGGTATCCATTTTGCCACTTGAAGTCATGCCAGAGAACATGTTTTGTCATAGTTGAACAAACAAGGATTAATAACAAATCAGTACATGRTTGTTAAAGAATTTAGGTTCACTAGGATTTTCACTGATATCACAGAGAATGCTRACTTGGAAGGGACCCAGAAGAGTCATGGAGTCCAACTCTAAATGCTTGA